TGTATATTTTGTAGTCCAAAACCATCCCGCGTTTGGAGTTATCTCCCCTCTTCCGAGAAAACGTCTCTATTTTTAGATCTGCCAGCTTTCAAAATGCACCGTCGCTGATTTTTGTAAGCAGCTACGTTTACAGGAAGTGTCATCAATATACGCAGTCGGCTTTACGCATGGTGCCTTTGCGACATAATACAGACTGTTAATGACTGGAGGTTCCCGACGGGTTTGGAGACGAGACTTATTTTTTGTAAGACTAGAAACGGCCATATCTGTACTTCTTAATCATACTTGGATACTGGTTATTAGCTAACTAGAATAATAATAAATTAGTGTCCCGAGTCGGATAGGCCTATTCTTTGTATTAATGTGATCGATAAGGTAAGCTTTTTAGTAAGTATATCTAGACAATATTCATGTATGGATTGTCGTTACAAGGCCTTTATATGATATATCGGTTCACAACAAATTGCACTATTCTTATTGACATGTCATTCGGTGCGATAGGCCTACACGTATACAAAGTGGTTAAAACATGCATATAGTCTAACGGTTTAAAAAACAAAATGAATAACTTATTGCAAGTAAACCCACTCTCCTCAGTTCTATAATCTTAGAGTTATTAGTTGACAAAATGGTAACAATACATACTTATAATTTCATTTGTCGCGATGCATTTGTCTAGGAATTACCGTAGACAAAGCGCTTTTCTATTTCAATAACAATACAAACTTTACAGATTCTGAAGGGATTTTTTTGTGTGTGTGTTATTTTTAGAAGTCGTGTACAGAATCTTATCTTGGTACATTGTCGAGAAGAATTGCTGTCGCTGATGCTATGTAAAACATGGTTCTTGTTTAAATTCCTGTTCCATATGTAAATCTTTTTATAGTATATTAGTATTTGCATTCAGACATCGAAATTTATCAGCGAATAAAATTGTTTTAGGGGAACTGAATCCTCAGCTAATTTAATGTGTTATTAGTATGAATAAAGTCTTTTCCAGATAATATATTTAATATATTTGCATATTAGTGAGTGGGCCAATAGGTTATTGTCTTCGTTCAGGTCTCGATTTCTCGTTTTCTGCTTTTCTTCTAATTCCCGAAGTTTGTTTCGAAAATATTAAGTGTACTTACTCTAATGGCGATTAGTTAGTGAAGGAAAGATACTCATTTCTCTTCCCATTCAGTAACTTTTAAAGAGATGCATATCCTCTATTTCAGAGTTATTTGTAAAATTAACAGTGGACTGACTACAGGTTTAAAAAGTTTGAACCGAGCCAATGTTACGAGCTACACTTTGTATCTATACAATGGTAAGTGGAGCTACCACATAGTACATTTAAGTAGAACAGTAGCGAAATATTAGTTGTCATTCGTTAATAAGAATTTATCCTTAACAGAAGTACATTAAATGGAATACATAGATTCCTTATTCTTTCGGTTTAAAAATATTGCTGTGAACATTGGATGGTTGTATTATTGGTGAGATAAAGAGTTTAGAAAAACTACAGCTATCCCCGTACACAAGCAGTCAATCTCTTTATACGGAATGGGAACCCTTATCCCATCGAATAATTGGCTTCTTTTTCCGGACCCAAATCTTTCTAAACAGGAAAATGAATGAATTTTTCACCGGAGCTGTGGGCACACCCATTTCCAATAGCAATATCATATATATGGTAGTGGCAAGTGTTATCACTCCTCAACCCAACCTAAACTCTCCTGAAAAAAGTACTGTGTATACATCTTTTCTGAGGCGATAATTCCTATTGATTGGGGAAGATAAACAACGGTGTTGGTGAATGAAGTGAGGGATAAAAAAGGGATAAATTGTACATGTGAAGATGAAAAAATGGTTTAAAAATAATCAGATTTTTTTCGACAAACTGTCAGAATTTATCAATTTGTGCACATTTTTACTGGATCTTCAGCTGAAAATAAGTTTTGAAATGTATGAGAGAGTCACATTTTCAAATCCAGCCTAATGAATGTGTCCGTATCAAATTCAGTCAGAAGAATATTGTTGATTTATGGAGCGTTTTGTTCTTGATCTCCATTATTGAACGTTTTGTAAGGTATGTGACCGGGTTTTTGTACGGGAATTTTGAAGACTGAAGTATAAAAGAGATTTCTTTAAAGTTTCCAATAGTCTTTATTCTGGAGTGCTGCGTTCAGAGTGACGCAATAAAATATACACTTTAAATTACAATTTCGAATATACCTAAAATGCTAATAAATGTACATACATAAATGCATAACGCTTAGATGATATCGAACATAGATCTAGGATCGTTTTGCATGCGGCCCTTAGGCTAATACAAAGTTTACACGATCACTCCGATCACCAGCCAGTGGCTCGTTCTCGGGCGAACAACTGTGTAGTAATGATTGATAGTAAACATTATTTCGAATCATATACTCCCTTATAATTCAAAACGAGTATTTCTTGAGCTGTAAAAATAACACATTTGTATGTTTTCTTATAGTCGCGGCAATTGATCCGGAAGTAAAAGAAGTATATATAAAATTAAAACCAATTCCGGACATGATCGAGATTTCCGAATAGAGTGAGATAATAATGTTAGAAATTATATATGGGAATAGAAACGGAATAATCAAATTAAAAATACAATTTTAAATTTGACTTTCTTGATAATAAAACATTTACAATAACCCAAAAATCAATAATTATTTACATTATAATATATCAAAAATCAATAATTATTTACATAAACATACTGCATAAGTAGACTACAATCTATTTCGACTTGAGACTTCATAATAAGAAATATATGATTTTGCTAGAAAAATATCACAAGTAAACTTGACTCACCTGAAGTATAAAAGAGATTTCTTTAAAGTTTCCAATAGTCTTTATTCTGGAGTGCTGCGTTCAGAGTGACGCAGCTCTACCCTGGAAACTTGGTGAGCTGTTTGATTGACCAATCAAATTAAGATGTACGATACTTTAGCCTATAAAAAGTTACGTATCTGGTCAGGTATCAAGAACTAATATACTGCGCATGACAAGCGCCCCTTACATGTCATAAGTCGCTCTACGTTAAATCCTAGGTAAACGTACACAGCGTTGAACTAAATAGGTATAAGAACACTCTTGTAATTTTGAATAGAAACGAATTTTTGACGGGACATCTCAATTGACTTTTACCTGCCATGTCTTGTTCCAAAACTTGTAGTACAAGTTTGCAGCAAATTCTAACCAATTATAAGATTAGGATATTTTCTACTCTTCGTTAATGCTAAGTAATTTTAAGGTATATTTCTAAATTATAGTCTCATTTTGAACAAATAAATATTTTATATAAAGTTTCAAATTTTAATAAATTTGTTTACTTCATTATCGAAATAAGTTTAATAAAAGCCGTGATAGGTATACCGAGTGAAGAAATGATTCAGGGGTGATAGGATGCTCCGCTCTCGATGTTTACGTTAGAAGATTGTCGAGTTTTTAAGATACCTTCCATTCCTTGATGGTATTTGGGCAGGTTTGAAATTAATTTACAATGCGTTCCATCTTTTATTCTGGGTGTGTATATTATCAATCGTTTTATAGTTTGTGTAAAACGAAACGTAGGTCATATTACATAACGCTCAATCACCGACCTCGACTAAAATTCAGTTATCAGAAACAGAGAATCATTATCTCTTCCCGTCAATTTGAGATATCCTCTATCACATATTTTGTTATAATGTTGTTGTTTTTAATCTTTTAATCTTTCAATCGTGTGAATGATATTAATTACAAAGTTTACATCTTATAACAGGGCTTCAAAACACTTTCAGAGGCGTAGCTTCCATAGAAAGAAAAAGCCCGGGCTTACACATAAAAAAAATCCGTGCATAGAGTATGTCGGACAAAATTACAAAACTAAGGTTGAAAATAGATATCAGGGGTTGAAGTTTGTTGTTAGATAAATAAAAAAAAAAACTGTCTCAGAAAACGATTCAAAACATCTTTGAAATCATGAAATTCAGACCCCTCGCCTGGGCTTACACATTTCTGCTGGGCTTGCTACGCCCCTGACTTTACTGGTCAAGATATCTGAAATGTATTCAAAACGAAAACAAGTATGAAGCAATTTTCTTTTTCATTTTTCACATATTAGGCAAGAATTGTGTAAACAAGGTACTGATGACTAGCTTTGATCGGCCTCACCGATTGCCACACGCTTCATTGGCGATGTACGTATCGTGCCCCGATGATCAGCTTTACGGGTGTTTAATACTTCGATCATCGATAAATGCAAATGTAAACATTGTAAGAACACATTATAAACCAGGTATACTAACCCCGACATAGATACAACACACCTTTGTCGTATAACTTTCAACTTTAACAATTTACTTAATGCAAAGGATGATGTACACAGAAAACATACATGTGTATAGTGTATACAGCATTCAACAAATGAGGACAAATCATAAGACATTTTTAAATACCAAACTTTATAAAAGTTTCATAGCTATATATGTACTATGGGAGATAACTTTATTAACTTTTTTTTTTTATTTTGTTTTTCAAGATTTTACAAAGGTATGCAACACACGATATATACTAGACTCACATACACATACACACCCTAGCACACATCACACTACACCCATGTACACTCACTCAAAACATGCACTCATTATTTCCTACTCTTTCCTCTTTGCTGACATGACATACAATGTGCTACTGTGTTTCATTCACACGCCCCAATAATAATACAAACTCAATGACTGCTGTCATCATCATCATCATCACCATCATCACATAGTTATCATCATGATCATCGTATCATCATCACTTCATTATCATGATCATCACCATATCATCATCATCATCACTATCATATCATCATCAGCAGTAACACATATTCAGCATTGTAATCATCATATCATCATCACCACTTCATCATCAACCTTTCATCCTCATTATCACATCATACACTGATCAACAACAGAGCTGTTTATTATTATTAGTGTTTTGCCTCATCA